GAAAGTTTGGGTCCGCCTATCTTTAAATCTTATCATGAATTTCGTTCGTAGCTCTAAAATTCGGAAAATTACAAATGTTATATTATCAACTACGAATTACTAAAATTCTGCTCCGAATATTCGTAATGGAGTTGATCATAAATTACGGTCATAGTAAAAATACCCTCAAAAGTCTACAAAAAAAAATAATTGCTCTTAACAAACAGTTTAAAGAGAATATAGTTGTATTAATTTTTCAAATTTTAAAGTTTCTTGGTTGAGTTTGGATTACTGTAACACAGCTACCAATTTTCAAAAATATTTAAAAACTAAAAAAGCTGTAAACCTTTCAGGCAAAAAAACATTTTAAACAATATTCCTTTGCATGATTATTTTAAAAAATATCATATTGTGTGGAAGTTGTTTTCTGAAATAACAAATAAAAAAATATAAATAAATTTTTGATAGTTGAAATAAAATACTGATTTTGGCACTCGCAAAAATTGTGTTGGCATTTTTGATTCATAATCTCTACGAAAGGAATTTGTGATCATTTGAAAGTCTGTGTCGTAGCTTAGTTTGTAATTCGTATGATTCTACGAGTGGAATTCATGATAGGGCTGCATGTCTTTCGATTTTTAACAAATAAAAAAAACCTTCAAATTTTATACATGTCCTGAATATAAAAGTTATCACGTTACGTCATCTCAAGTATGCCCTTCTGGCAGCCGTGCCTGTAAAATTTTTGGGCTCTTAAATACAACAGCTGACGTGATGTCTTAAAAAGAATTTAAGATTGAATGAAGCGAAAAATATTTTGATTATTTTGTAAAAATTTAAATATTAAAATAAAACGTTCGAAAATTTTTTAAATTTTCAAAATATTCTTTTCTATAATATTTAAAAAAACCTTCGGTATTCTGTGACTTCAGTAATGTTTTATAAAAGGTTTAAGTATGGTATTAATACGATTGTAGTACCGCCTCAAAGCTTTAAATACCTTTACATTATAAAAAAAATGCTAAAGCTTGTGCTACATTTTGGAATTTATTTTGTACAATATTGATACATACTTTGACGCTTGTTTGAATTTAAAGTTCTGTGCAAATCTTTATTTTGAACAAACATTACCATATCTTTAAAAACAGCATTTTTATGCTGCAGTTTTTGAAAAAAACTTAATAACTAGCACTTTATTGCTGAAAATATATGCTAGTTTATTTAATTGATTATTTCTGGCAACATTTATATGACGTGTATAAGAAAAGCGTGCTCGATTTTTTGATACCCAATTTACTTTTATTTTACGCATCCACTACGTATAGAACGCATTTGTGAAAAGTGTACAATGTCAAGAGCTTTTTCTAAACTTTTTGGAATGTGATACTTTGTAAAGTTTACGTCGTAAACGTATTATTGAAATCACGGTATGTTAGCATTGTCTACCACTACGAAAAGCTCAAGTTGCTCATATTTGTTATTCTTTCCAATCTATAATGTAGAAAAACACCGATATGTACATAAGTAGTTTAAAATTTTTACTATAGTCTTAATTAAATAATTTTTACCGATTCTTGCAATTTATTTATAGATTGAACTTAGAAAGCACTGTCCACGCCGAATGCAAGTATTGAGGTGACAAGAATTGACTATCACATCGTACGAAAAGCTTTACACAAACTTGGTACCACTTTATGTATGATTATTATATAAAGACACTGTTCTAGTATCATGTAGATTGTAGATTTGTACAACGGGGACAACAGTGCACCACGACCGCGTATAAGGATTTATTGTGCGCCCCCATCTGAGTGTGGGGCATGCTCTACAAAACACACTCGGGACCCACCCTCCTGATGAACTCAAGCAACTTGTGAGGACCAGAAGACCGTAACTCCGCCACCGTTAGAGCAAAGCCCCCCAGCAACTCCCCTCTACCATGAGCAAGAGCATCACACTCTCCCAGGAGGTGCACAGAGGTCTCTCCATACTCCTCACAGAATCTGCAAGTATCCTCATTTTCCAGGCCCGGCCGACTGTGGTGTCCCCCAAGCCTGCAGTTACCCGTCAAAATGCCGGTGAGGACTCTCACCTGTTTCATGCCCATTCGCCTTCTTTCTGATTCCTTCCTTAATTCCCAACGAATAGTATGTGGTCCGACTCCGCAGAAGGACTGAGGTCCAAGAAGAGGTGTGTTTGCTCCCTTCCTTGTAAGCGCATCAGCGGCCTCATTCCCTGCCACGCCAACATGGCTCGGCACCCAACACAGTGTGACTCGTTGCATCTGCCTAACTCATTGAGCTCCTCAAGACAGCCCCATACTGCCGCAAAGGATACTGAAAACGAGTTCAGCCCTCCAATCGCAGCCCGGCTATGCGACATAATCATTATCTCCTGTCCCTGATACCCCCTTTCCAGGCTGAACCACACGCACATTTCAATGGCGTGCAACTCAGCCCGAAACACACTCGGAAAAGGAGAATCCCATAGACTCTGACCCATCTGTGTACCATCTTATAACGTTTGTTCCCACTAGGCGACTCGGACATACGAATCGGACCACACGGATCGGACATACGAAGTACTGCCGGGAAAATGCGCCTCCGGGAGAAAAGCCCTTTGCTCCTCGTTCTCTGTGTAGCCGCCATCCGACCTCCTTAAAGAAGCAGTCACTGGCACCCTGTCTCTATCCAGAGCTCTATGCAGCCTCGCAGCGGACGGCGTCTCCGTTATGCTCCCGCAAAATGATCCAAAGCTTCTGCGATTAGCCCTGCGGAGCTCCTTGCTGTAGACTGTCAAGTTCATCTTGTACTCTTCCCAAGTACCTTCCCGCTTAGCCCTATTGAAAAGCCTGCGAACCCTGATCCTCAGGTTTTCCTATCGCGGGGTCCACCAAGGTGCATCTGTGAAATCCCTTGGCACACCAAAGGGGCAGTTCGAGTCACAAGTCTCGACTATAATTCCCCCGAGCTCCTCCAAACCCCTTTCCAATACCAGAGGCGGTTCTAACCGAGGCCCTCGACAATTTTGTCTCGAGGTCCTTTTTGTATCCCTCCCAGTTTGTCCGCCTCGGATTTCTCCCCCATCAACCCACCCAGACAAAACTGGTTGATTCATTGATCTGACATAGAAATCTCCGCTGATACCTTCCAGTCGCGTACCAGGAACCCCACATTCGGGCTGCCGAATGTGATATCCAGTACCTCCTCTCTAACCCTAGTTATAACAGTTGGAGAATTCCCTTTAACTACAAATTCTAATAGACTCATCTCTAGTGTTGGTGTCGCTGGTTCCACATGCAGCGTGATGTGCATTCGCATCACAGCCCATGATGCTTGCTTTATAACATTAATGTGGGCCCTGACAGGTGTGAGGTCCCTTGTCATGTACTCTGAAAGTGCAATAAAATTAATATTTTTTTCTAATTAGAATGTTGGTCCTGGGGCGGTCCTGCCCATAATCCAATATTACCTGTGCATCTTTAATTGACAGTCCTCTGATCTGCCCCTTGTATACCCAGGACTGCTGTATCATCCTTGCCAGAACAGCCGAAGCTGCTCTGGCGTGGTAGACATTCACCTGGGCGACCCTGGTGCCTTTGTTCCTCATTTGTTGAGTTGACTGGCAGGGTGATCTTCCCCTGCCATCGGGACGTCATTTTCTGGAAAGGACTCCCTAAGTCTCAGAAGGGTTAGCTCCAGGTCTTCCACCATCTCCTCTGTTGTTAATTAAGAGGGACGCCCCTCATCCGTGGTTTCATATCCTTCGGAAAGATCTCCCCCCCGGTCCACCAATTCCTTTTTGGGACCATTTACCTCCCGTGACGATTCTACCCAGCCCGTCGAGGATTCCACCCAACTCGTTCTTCCGGGTACGGCAGAATATAACCGCCCCGCTTGATGGCTTTCGCGGAAGAGTTATCGATCCCTATTCGGAGAACCTCTCCGCCACCGTCCTCTCGCTGCCCCATCAGCTTCCAGACCTGGGTGTGTATTCCCCCGTTTTGGGCCTGGAAAATGGCCAGTGTATTTTCCCAGGCTTCCCCGACGCTCCTGGGGACGAAGACGGTGATTTCACAAGGCTTAGAGATGTCATCCCCCTTCCTTGCCATCAATTCCGGTCCGCTCCGTGTGCCCAGAACTGGCGCCTGCTTGATCATCCATTTCGCTGTCTCCTCACCTGCACAATTGATGAATACCATCCCGGGCCTCAAGTGTACTCCTTCAAATTGGATGATGTTGTCCCAGCCCTTGGCTACCTCGTCGATTATCGCCTCCTCCAGCTGGATCAGCATTATGGAGGGGTATTCCCTCGACAAAACTGTCACCATCACAAGTTTGGCTGCCGCGGCATAGCTAGTGCCCGGTTCCGTATTCGAGGTGGAGGGTATAGGGTGCATTCCCATATTCCTATTTTCAGCCGTTTTCCTTCTTTCGGCCTGCTCTTCTTGGGGAGTCAAGGACTCACGTCTGCGCTTACCAGTGGAGGCACGTTTTGAATAGGCCTCTTCTTTTCTTCTGCCAGTTTCCTGGTCTCATCAGGTGATTTTCCCTGCTCCAGGCAGTCCTCGCCTCTTCGGTTCATCCAAGCCTCCAGGTTGACCCAGTGATGGTAGATAGGAGGGCTTCCAAGTTCTAGTATCATACTTATGCGTATATGATTACTAGAACAGTGCATAGACGTAATAGTATCACTTAATGTGATATTTGCATGCTATATGACTACCAGAATATGAATAATTATATAGATGCGTACATATTTCAGTGTGTATTATTTAAGGACTACATATGTTTACATATATATATCTATAAATACATGTGCAGGTGTATAGTTAGTTATTTGAATACGTTGAAAAATTTCCATGTGTATTAAAAAAGCACATAAAACCAAATTGTTCCAGCAAATTGCAATACTGGTGAAATACCATTATCTTGCACATTAGAATTAACGAGGAAACTATATGAAACCATTTTGAAAGCATCTTTATTGAAAATGAAATGATAAATACAAAACAATTTTGTCTAAAATTTTATTTACTACAATAATTTTTAGCAAATAAATTTCGGTCCATTAAATCATTGATAAAAATTATAAGTTTCTTAAATTACTTTCGTTAACAATAGAAATAAATATGTTATAATCTTTAAGATTCATGAAAAATACCAAAACTTCATCTTATGCTGTAAAGCTTTCGTATGAGCTCATCCATGCTGTTACGTATGTCCATTTTGGAAAACTGGCTAAGAATGTTCGAAATTCGTCAGTTCGGTATATTGAATGATGATCCAGATGTCCAGTAACCGCAACATTAAAGCACGGTGCGCTAAGTTTGTTAATATCTTTCTAAAATTTATTAAAAATAAGCATGGCATAAAAACTAAACGCAAGTGAAAGTGCATATACATACATCAAATTCAAGCCAAAACAATAGCGTTGTGTCCTCAGAGTTCGTTCCATAATGATATGATATATAAAAACTTTGTGAAAAAAGTGATGTATTTACATTGAATGACCAATTAACAAGTTTGCAGTTCTAATTTAAAAAGAAAAAAACATTGAAGAAAACCTGGCAAACTATTGCTGCAGTAATGTGGTTTCCTGGGAAACCAGTGCTGCAGATTCGAAAAACATATATAGTTTTGACTGTTACGTCTGTAGGGATGTTAAACAATATGTACAAAAAAATTTAAAAAAAAAAAAAAATAAAATTTCTCGTCCCTTGAGCATTTTACACAAGGGTGTTATTCTGTTTCAGTTACCTTTTTAGTTCACATTTAAACTTAATTTTAAATTATTGAGAACCTCACTCGTAGAATTCTACGAATTTCAAATTAATTTACGCGCAGACTTCTGAGTAATTATAAATCTCTTTGGTAGAGATTATGAATGTGCAATGGCAACATTATTTTTCGGAGTGTCAAAATCTAAATTTTATTACAGGTGTCAAGTGTCAATATTTAAATTTCTCGAATTTCATAGAAGACATTTAAAAAAATAACAGACATTTCAAAAAACAATATACAATCAAAAAAGAAAAGTTTAATTAGAATGAATTCGTTTTCCTTTAAGAAAACCTTTAAGAAAATTTTGATGAAATATAAATAAAATAAATTGTACTAAATACTTGCATTTCCTTCTTTTTCATAAAAAAAATTAAAAAATAAACAAACTTAAAAAAAATAACCGTTATCATTAATAAAATTTTGACATTATTTTCATTACGAGTGGGATTAAGAATTATGTATTCTATTACGAATTTCGGATTACAAATCGACCACTTGGGAATTCACAATATGAAGTTCGTAATTTCTCCATTTCAGTGCTACGAGTGAGATTTACATTGAGGGTGTATATTTTAAATTAAGTACTAATGTCAAAGCCTGGACTAATCCAATATATCAGACCACCAAGCTCAGAGAGTAAATTAAAAATAATTTCCAAATTTATATGGAGTTTCAATAAAAGGGGTGCCAGAAATTGTTTGTGTGAAGGAAATTGACTTATATTTTTAACTCCAATGATTTTATATATTTTAATCGGTTGGCTGATTCCGTCTGAATAATACAATAAAAAAGAGGGAAAAAATACGAATTTATTTAATCGAAATTATAGTTAAAATTTGGAGTTGAAATTTGAATTTGTTGCTCAGAAAATTTCAAATTTTATTTTAATTTTTAGGTTTTAGTCAATTTTTCTCCTAGAAAACTCAAAATGACAATAGGCAAAAATCATAATTTTTTTCAAAAAAAGAAAAAACGAGAAAAAATAGAGTTGACCTTGTCAACTCTTTGATACCCGTACAAATTTGTTATCCTATGTGCAAATAAATATGCCATAACTGACTGTGGGACAGACTATGGCTTTTTGCAGTATTACCATATTTCAGTACTATGTGTTTTTCAAAATACTTTGTGTGCCAAACCACTATTGAAGTTGTATGGCAGCTACCAGAAAGAGCCAAGAAATTTTAACGAATTTCATCAAGCACATCGGCCCTACTAATATATTCGCTTGTGTGAAATTTCAATACCATAGCTTTTATAATTCCTGAGATATAGCCAAATAACTTTTGAAGTTGTATGACAGGTATCAGAAGGAGTGAAGTGATTTCACCAACTTTTATCTAACACATTGGCCCTACTAATATATTGGCCCTACACATTGATATTTTTGCTATAACAAGGTACTAATTAAAGAGTAAAATTTTTAAACAAGAAACAAAAATTTTTAAAATTTGAGTCAAACCAATAGTTTGCAATGTAGCAATTTTCCCTTCAAGAACTGAAAATACTGCTGATAAAAACAATATACTACATTATTAAAATTAGTTTTATTTTTACACCAACATTTTTCAAAGATTGCATACATGTAGAATGAGGCAAAAAACAAAAAAAAATTAAAGAGGCGTTAATGTTCAAACTTGGGGGTTAGGTTAAGTTAGGTTCGGTTGTACGGCCCCTCGAAGGGTACACTTAGGCCACCTCTCTCCCTCATTAGAACCAGCCCGAGTTCTTCAGAAACTGGCCAAGGTCCCTAGCATTTACAGTCGCTAGGTCCGTAGCCCGCCCAAAAAAGTGGGACCCAAGAAACCTCCGCCTGAAGTTCGCCAATGCCGGACACGAGCACAGCAGGTGGGTCAACGTTTCCGCCTCCTCCTCGTCACAGCAGCTCCTACAGAGATCGTTTGCGGGGCGGCCCATACTCGTGGAATAATCGCCAATCAGACAGTGCCCAGTTAAAACCCTGGGCGTTAATTGAGGAAGAAAATTTAGAATTTATATTTTAAGCTGGTGAAAAAATCAATTTCGCAGAAGAATTTTTATAGGAAATATGGAAGTTTTAAAAAAAAAGCGTTCCAAAATTTTAGAAAGGTGATACATTTTTTTTTATACAGTGAATAAAAAAAATTGTGCCTAGCATATTCTTAAAAAAAAAAATAAATTTTTGATGCAAAATTTATTAAATAAATTTTTGATGCAAAATTTATTTTTTTCATATTAAAATAAAATTTAAAAAATATTTTAAATTAGATTTTAAGTTTTATAATTATAGTGCTTTATAATATATATCATTATTTTATTGATATATAACTTATTGTAAATAAACAAATAGATTTATAAAGAGTTTGTCTGGTATAAAACTTCAAACAACTTTAAAAAGAGAAAACAGTGACGTAATTTCTGGAAAAAACAATAAACCAAACAAAAAAGCTTTATAAATTGGTAGTTAACGTCAAATTTTAAAATACAGCAATCCCTCCTATAACGTAATTTTTGGGACCGAAAAATTTTTACGTAAGTGAAATTACATTATAGGAGGTCCAACTAAACTAATATGACTAATATGTATGTACATACATATGTATGTATGTACTTGATATTTGCCTAAACTAGTAAGTTGCCTGTTGGTAAAGAAAGAAATTTAAATGAAAAAAAAAATAGATTCTTGCATATTAAATTATTTTAAAATTAAGTAAAACGAGGTAAAAATTACATTAAGTGAAAATAGGTAGGAAAAATAAAATTTACATATATCGAAATTATATAGAAAGAGGTTACGTTATAGGAGGGATTGCTGTACTGTGTGTATAAATTTTTTTTTAGTTTTGAACGAAAATTAATTTTTTTTTTTACTGCGAGGAAGGGTTAAACCCCTCAAAAGACACTGCCAGACGAAAAGCAGTAGTGCGGAACTTTAATCCACTAAAAAACACTCTCCTTAGAATAAACTATAAAACTAGTCGGAAACGACTAACCAATAATTTTGCTCTAACCTTTTTGATTATTTACAAGCTTTTGATCTGGAACAATAGCGTACTAAGTACTCATTGTTCCAGATAAAAAACATTTAAACAAGCTCGAGATGTCACGTACGTTTAAGTCTCCTAACAAAGTTTTTATTGTCAACCAATCGAGCCGTCTCGATATTGACATGATTGGATAAACGCATTTTATGATTGGCTGCTTGCTTTTTAATTTCGTCTGTGACACTTAAGATCGTGAGATGCCTGTGTATATCGGCATTACGGACATACCAAGGGGCGTTAACAATATCCCGTAATACCTTATTTTGAAATGTTTGTATAGATTGGATATGAGTCTGCGCAGCGCAGCCCCATAACTGAACACCGTAAGCTCAAACAGGCTTAAATATTTGATTATATATCAAAACTTTGTTGTATATCGTCAATTTACAATGCCTCCTCTGTGTTTGAGATCTCATTTCTGGCCCTTTGCTATTTTTGCGTAGATTCATTTTCGTCCTATTGCGATAACTGCTGTATCATCAGCAAATGTAGCTGTTGTCAGTGCTTCCGATTCAGGAATATCACACGTGTATAGCAAGTATAATATCGGGCCCAATATACTTCCCAGTGACACCCCCGACCTGATATTCCTAAGCGAAGAGTACTCCTCTTCCTGTTTAACTCGAAATACCCTATTAGCCAGGTAAGATTCGAGCAGGACAACATACTGCCTTGGTAGTATTCGCCTTAGTTTTTTTATTAATCCACAATGCCAAACCTTATCGAAGGCCTGGGCTACGTCCAAAAATATGATAGAACATATTGTTTTTTCTTCCAGTGAATTTTCTATTAGGTCAGTTGTTCTATGAATCTGATCTATGGTTGAGTGGTTCCGGCGAAAACCAAATTGATGGTTCCGGCGAAAACCGAATTGATTAGGCTGAAGTCTTCTCAATAAAAGTTTCTCTAGCAGTTTTGAAATCATCGGCAACAATGAGATTGGTCTATAAGAAGTCGGCCTGTCTATAGGTTTGCCAGGTTTGTGCAGCATAATTATCTCTGCAACTTTCCAAATGTCAGGCACGTAATTGAACCTTATACACGCATTTCCTAGGCGCGTAAGCATCGTTATACCCCTTTTGGGTAATTCTTTCAAAATATCGGCCGTTATTAGGTCAAATCCTGGGGCCTTTTTATTTATTTATTTATTTCAATAATTTCTCAAAAGAGCTTTAAGCTCGAACAGAGTATATAATTCAGAAATTTACAAATGTTTTTAGTTAAAATTTGCCTAAATTGATAATATAATATCGCAGGAATAAACCATTCAACATTCGAAAAAAGAATATAAAAAAGATAACATAACTACATTATAAGTAATATAAAAAGATTAAAATTAATGTAATAAAAAATTAAACAATTAAATTAAAAACGTAAAAATAAAAATTCAAATTGTAAAAAGTAAAAATTAAAAATTAAAAAACTAAACAGAATTCAACAAAATCAAATACTAAAATATTTAGAAAAAAACAAAAGATTAATTGATTTTAAAGGTATTTACAATAAAGTGACAATGACATAATTAATATTTTTCTAAGTATTGTTTTCTCAAAGCATTTTTCAATACTCCTGTTGAAGATTTTTTTAGTGTTGCTGGCAACCTATTGTAAGATTTGACAGCTGAGTTAATGACTGGCTCAAGTCCATTTAGATTATTTACTGAATGACTGCGCATGTGAGTTGCCGTTCTGGTACTATAATTATGAAAATTATGAAATTTAGGTTTA